CACTATGTAGCCTGGGCTTATAAAATGTAAACACAGCGCGCATGGTTGTTTACTGACACCACGCTTCTTGCCGGCTTGGACTGTTGTGGCCGAGAGGGTTGATGAGCATCAAAGATGCCACCGTCACTGGCCCCAAGTGCTAAGAGCTTTTCAAAAATGTGGTCGCAAGACCCAGCAGCTCACTTCTGTGATGTGCCTTTTTCATGGCCTGGATTCAGCCAAAGGCTGCAAACGCAGAGCTTCCAGCGAAACCATGGCGCTCTTGTGTACGCATTCGTAAGGCTGGGGGTTTCTCATGATTACTCATGTTCATATATGACGAGTCTTCTAGACAGAGCAGGATGAACCGTCTCGCGCAATTTGGAAGCCGGCAAGTCTTAGCTTCCAGTGCGTGCCACCTGAGCAGTATGGGAGCGAGACTTGGCACGTCGCAAGACCCAAAGAGCCACCTGGATTTCAATTGGTTTCAGATTTGGAGGCGTCAGGCTTTAGTAGAGGCTGTAGCCGATGCCGCATGAATCCGGGTGCTGCAGCATGCCCATACTGAACGCCGTGGCACTCTGCACGCCTAATGGGCGTCAGCGCGGATCTGCTGCTCAGACATTGACAGTAGTTTGCTTCAGATCAACAATGAGATCAACAGTATTTAGAGCCACTTGCTTAGGACTTTCAGTTCAGGCATGATGAGCGGTCTTGCTGGCCTTCAGCTCCGGAAGTGCTGCAAAATATTGCAGACGTCCATGACTTTGATAACCACAAGCATTCTTAAATTGAAGCTTGGAGAGTGTAGACAGCTTGTCCAAAACAAGCAGCGGCGTTTTGATGTCGTGCTTGGCATCTGGCCAGAATACAAGCAAGCGAATGTGTCTGTCAGCACCACTACGTCTGACACAGATGGGACTGACTCTTCCAAATCCGGAGGTGGAGTTGGCTCGCCATGCCAGGGCAAGCTCTCCAGGTTCTGCTGCTGGGAGCGTTGTGCCAGCATCACTTCTGGCTTTTGTTGCAATCGCGATCGCTCATCCTCGCCGCAGGCTTATCACTTTTTGTCTTTGATGTATCGGAGGTAATAGGCAGTTGTCGGTAATGCCGCAGTGCAGGCAAGAGTCTCTTGTTGGCCTTTGCATTGCAAATTCGCCAGCAGAGGCAAGCTAAAACCTTCAAAGTTCTTGTCAGTGCATGTATATGTCCGTTGCACATGGCGTGGTTTGGCGCATGGGCTGGGTCCTGGACTGCGTCGGTGGCTCAGACTCTGTGCCTCAATCAGACCCTAGTATGATGAACACCGCGTAGTAGGAGACAGAAGCGATGCAGAAGCAACGCATTGCCCAGTTAAAGAGGCCATCGACAACTCGCCCATATTCATTTCCTAAAAAAAGAATGCACATCAGAGCAGTATGAGCACGCAGGCAGCGAATGAAGTTTGCTAGCAGCTTGGGACAGAAACCCCATCAAGACTCCATCCTTTTTTTGAACATGTGGGCATGGGCCAGCTTTGATCGGCATCACCTGTACGCGGGCAAGAGTTTAGTGAATCCAAGCCATCATCACCAGCATCATTGTCATCAGGGCCTTCAGAACCATATGCTGTTTTCGACTCTGGCTACCCAGTGGGCAATTTTTCAGTTTTGCGCACTCCATCAGACTTGTTGATCAAGTTCTGTCCTGGATCTCGAGAACCAACAGTGCCTATTCTGCAACTGCTTATGACATACAAGGCCATGACCACCAGAGCTGAAGACACACTCAAATTCCTGAAGCACCTGCTCCATACACTCCTAAAGTTAGGAAATGAAAGCAACCAAACAAGTCCCCGTAGAATCCGTCATGGGACCACGTGCTGCAACTCCGCATTTGAGGTCCAGTGGTGATGCGCCGGAGGCCTGTTTGTGTTACTAAAGGGCATGTGCTAAGCTTGGCGCCTCAGCGGGGCTGCTAGGCTGCCAGCTTTGCGCAGGCCTTTAAGCTCGGTGAGGTTGTGGAGTACTACAGTGCCTCTCAAGGATCCTGGATCCCTGCCAAGGACAGATTGCAAATGCTTCCAGGTTTTGATCAGCTTTCTAGCGTTCATCCAGGTGGTGGCAGTGAATCCGGCAGGCACTTACGACTTGGACTGCAACTTTGCTGCTGAACAAGCTTCTCTCAAGTTCGCTGAGTTCATAGCTCTGTGACAAATCCAAGGCAAACCTGCAGTACCTCCAGAGAAAATTCGGTCCTGCGCCGCTGCCAGGGATAGCCGCTCGCCTGCGTCAGAAGCTGACTGTCTTTTGCTCCCATCGCCTGGGCGCGGAGCGGGGGAAATTTTGGATGCAAGGCCGACTTTCAACAACGGGCGTGCTAGAGTTTGAGCCCGGGGAGCTTGTCGAGCATCTTGACTACAACAAAGACGGCTTAGGTGCATACGTACTCCCGTCGATAGCGGTGTTGATGCCCGCCCTGCAGCAGAAAGAGATGTTGCGTTGCACATGATACATTAACAGTCCTCCGCGCTTCTGTGTTTGTCCGAGCGGGCTTGGATGTGGAGTGGTCGAATCTGCAAGTGGGCTTTGGTGGAGGCTCTGGAAGGGTTAGGGAACCCCGGAGGCCCTCCAAGACGCCGGTTTGGGTGGGAAGGCCTGAGTCGCCCAAGAGGGAAGGCCAAAGAGAGGTGTTGGGGCCCAGCACCTGATCAGTACGCGGGGGTGGGAGGACTTTGAGATCTCGTGGAGCCGGCCATGCTCGCCCGATCATGTCCGAGAAAATGGGTTTGACAGTCTTGAAAGCCTGTTCGCGCAGGGTAGTTTTTTCAAGGGCTTGTATATGTGTGTGTGCGTGTTCACAAGCCCTGTTGGACAAGGGGTCACCTTGCAAGTACATTTGTCGTGGCGCAGGTTGCATGGCCTGGAGTCTTGCAATGATCATGCCAGACAAGGATCAAATCCTCAAACCATCCCATCCCACAGTGAGTGATTGCTTAATTGTAAACGCTAGCGCGCGCCCGCCTCGGCTGGCGGGGCTTCCCACTGTAGGAACATGTAATTATAGATATACAGTTATTTAAGTTAGGTATATAGATACAGTCACATGCCTATTACATACACAATAAAACCCTAGAAGTCCAACTGGGGACGCGCAAG